CAAGAGCAGGAGAGGAAGCTGGGCAGACCCCATGGTCCCATGCCCAGAGATAGGGGAGTTTATTCCCCACCCTCTGCCCCCCTTTGCCTGAGGTACTGCCCAGACCTGTCTGGCCTTGAGGACAAGCCTGGCAAGGGCTATTCCCCCCGTCCCTCGAGGTGCATCCTGGCTGGGGTCCTTGCAGGCCAGGATAGGGCTTTAAACCCCTCCACAATCATACTTGGCTCCTGGGGGCCTGGCCACACACCCCAGGTCGGCTTCCCTCCAGCCTCGCAGTTGCTGCAAAGGGAAGGGAGGTCTGCTCTAGCACCCCCTGGCTTGTAGCTTGAGCCACTGCAGGCATGCGCCTGCATTTCCAGAATTAAACATGGATGCCTGCGCACTTGTAAATCAGTTTGCAGGTAGACTAACCTGCAAAGATTGAATCAATTTGAGCTCTGGCTTTTTGAATGTCTGTCCCTAGCCTATGTGACACAGGTTTGCCAAGGTTCTGTGGCTGGGCAGCACATGGCTGTGCCTACTAGCAAAGGCTCCTGGTGGGGCAAAGGCATTCTAGTGTTCCCTGCTGAGCCTGCTTTTCTTCCACACAATGTGTTGCCTTCTTCCCTGCCAGCCTGTGATCTTAATTTCATGCCCTACCAATCTCCAGCTTCCTTTCCCTATAGCCTGGTATTACATCTCATACCCATCATTATTAAATTTGGGAAACTTCCTCTTCCAATTTGTCTGACTCAGCAGTGATCTTTGAGGCTAGGGACAGGCATTACACATAAACTAGCTTGTGATCAGAAACTGCTTTTAAACCTGTACCAGTGCACATAAACCAGTTTGAAAATGGCTGAAGCTGGTTTGAGATAAACCTGGTTGACTATAGTATCAGACTTAACCGATTTGGGTTAAACTGGTTCATTCAGTGTCTGTCCCAGACTCCTTCCTGGTTTAACTTACACCATGCTTTGCAGCCCTGGGCAGGGCTGTCTGCTCCACAGCGGAGCTGGCCTCATCCCTCTGCTCCCTTGCTGGAGCTCTGGAAAAGACAGCAGAGACATCAGTATCTGCCTGGCTTCCCCTTTCCCCCCCAGCTCCCTCACCACTCCCTGCTCGAGCAGGGATTCCCCCCCCCCTCTCCCAGATCACAGACCATAGCCAGCATGTGGTGTGCTAGCTAATGCTGAGAGGTGTCCATGTAAGGCAGACAGGACAGTGTCCACTTAGGGTTTTTTGGAGCTGATCAACAGGTAGCCGGTAATGCCCCTCCATTCCTTCTTTGGAAAACGCTGTTCAAGAAGAGCTTGAGCTAACAAGAGAGGCTTTTGTTTTCTTTTGATGGGGTGCTAAATGGTATCAACTCCCTGTGTAACTCCCTGTTGTATAACTAAATGCTGTTATCAACTCCCTGCTGGCTCCCTTGCTGGTGAGGAGCAGCGAGTGTTGTGGAGGGGAGGGGGGGGGGCCCTCCTTAATCAGAGAGTCCTGCTGGGCCCTGGCCACACCTCCCCTCAGCTCAGCACTATAAAAGGGAAGGGAAGGAAGGGCTGTTGTAGTGCCCCCCAGCTTCTAGCTTGACCCACTGCAGGCTTGTGCCTTTATTTCTTCAGTCCAGAGTGGGGCTAAGGGCAGACATTACACACTAAATGATCAGAAACTGGTCTAACCTGTAACAGAACAGATGTTCAGTGCACATAAACCAGTTTGAAAATGGCTGAAACCAGTTTGGGATAAACCTGGTTGAATGTGGTATCAGACTTAACTGATTTGGGCATGGGTCAAACCAGTTTATGCAATTTTTGTCCCAGATCTCTTTCTAATTTAAGTTAAATCAGAGTCCCCCAGAATCCCAGATGCTTTGCAACGCTGGGTGGGGCTCTGATCTCTGCTCCAGCCCAGCAAGGCTGGCTTTTCCCCTCTGCTTCCTGGCTGCAGCTCCAGCAGAGAATGCAGGTACAGCAGCACCTGCCTGGCTTCCTCCTGCTCCCCACTCCCTGCTCAAGCAGGGATTCCCCCCTCCCCTCTGCCTTACACAGACACCTCTCAGCATTAGCTAGCATACCACATGCTGGCTACTGTCCATGCTGGGGGGGACTGGATGAAGGCAGACAAGACAGTGTTGGATTAGGGCTTTTTGGAGCTAATCAACAAGTAGCTGGTAATGTCCCTCCGTTCTGTCCTTGGAAAAAGTTGTTTAAGAAGAGCTTGAACTAATGAGAGAGGCTTTTGTCTTGCTGATGGGTGGATAAATGCTTTGCAACTCTCTGCTGTGTAATTCAGTGCTCTGTTATCAACAGCAAGGTGGGGAGAGGAACCTAGTCAGAGTGTCCTGCTGAGGCCTGGTCATTTCCCATCCCTCCAGCTTAGCACTTTGGACAGGAAAGGAGGGCTACTCTAGTCCCCCTTCAGCTTCTAGCCTGAGCCACTGCAGGCATGTGCCTGCATTTCTTCAGTCCAGAGGGGATGTCTGTACAGTTACAAACTGATTCACCTAGGCAGGTTAGACTAACCTGCAAAGATTGAATCAATTCAGGCTCAGGCTTTTTGAATGTCTGTGCCAGCCTGAGAGCACAGGAGAGATAGGCTCCCTGCTGTGAGCTCAGATGCCCCAGGCTTGCCCAGCATGTAGCGTCTATTGTGTTGCAGTTCCAGGGAAAGCACAGCATGCTCCATTCATGGCGGGACAAGAATCTTTGGGGATGTTAGTTGTTTAATTACTAAACTTTACTAATAATTACTTTATTGAGCATGTGTGAACTGTGTTGTTTGTTTGCTTGTTAGTTTTCAAAGGCTTGTAACTTGGCCAGATTTCATAGGGACAACAAAAATATATGTTGACACAGAAGTCAGTCTGGAAAACTTCAAATCCCTGTGCATGGGACATTAGAACTTTTCAAAGAAGAGGTTGGCTGACTTTTTTTTAAATTGGGAGCAAAACAAATATAGCTTCCCTGCCCCTCCCCCCCCCTTTTTTGGTTTTTGTTTGGTTTTTTTTTCAGACAATGGCTCAATGGTTTTTACCATCATTTGCTTCCCTGAGTGCACTCCCCCCTTTGAAAAAAATACTTCAACTTGACATGGGCATCGATTATGGAAATTAAATGTTTTGTTCATGTTTTTTAGAATTTGGCACAATGCTCAATAACATTTACGATTCTTTCAGATAACCCAGATTGGACAGATTGGTAAAAGTCCTATGCAGAGCAACAAAAATAATTTAGGGCCTGCAAAGTAAGACTTGGGTGGAAAGGCTATTTTAGGTTATTTTATTTGGAGAAGAAAAACTGAGGGAGGATTTGATAACAACCTTCAAATACCTGAAGGGTGATTTATAGAGACGATGGAGATGGGCTTTTCTCTGTGGCTGTAGATGACAGTACTAGCAGCAATGACCTCAAGATACATTGAGGGAAATTTAGGCTGGAGATTAGGATGAACTTTCTAGCTGTGGGTGTGGTCAGGCATTGGAACAAGCTACCTAGAGAAATTGTAGAATTGCCATCCTTGGATATTTTTAAGAGCATGTTGGACAGACATTTGGCTGGGATGGTGTAGTCAGGGGCATCCCGCCTTGGGCATGGGGCTGGACTAGATGACCTCATAAAGTCCCTTCTAGCCCACTTTCCTGTGACCCTATGAACACTAGTAATTTTAGTGTTATTGATGGTTATAGTTCCAAACCATCTGGTTTTTTTTTTGGTTAGCACTGCAGCTGACAAATAAAAATATTCATTAAGACTCAGGCAATTTTCCAGGCTGTTTTGGTAAGCAGCAAATCATGTTCCCAGTAGCTCACTGAAGCAACAAATCATGTTCACCTGATGGAAAATACTGTGCGCCAGCATCTGAATTCTGTGTTTGCTGTCAGAAAGCAATAAACCATTTTATTTTAACAAAACAAGTTGCTACAACTGGTATTTTTAGGAGATGATTTATGACCTATGTTTTCTTTTGTAATTTCTAAAAATAGGGCATTTATCTATGTGTTCAAAATATTAAATGGACAATACATATAAACTACAGAGAGAAAAAAAGAAAAAATGGGAAGAAGTAAAGTATAATTAATCTTAAGAAAATAATGGAAGGATCAGCATGGTATAGATAAGAAGGAATTATATCCATTAGTCTTCTGGCAAGAGAAAGAAGTATGCATTTCTGTATGAGTGCCCTAACCACTAAGCTGGAAAATGAGGCTCACACTTTGTTTGGCCTGTGTATCTTTAATTTGTTTATGCAAAGAATGGAATAGTTTCAAGTGGATATACTGAGAGCACCTCTGCCCAAGAACAGCTTGTAGCCTGATAATCAGGGATCCTGGTTTTCTCTATTAAAAAATCCCCAATTTTCGGTTTTAAAACTCTGTGTGTGTGTGTGTGTGTGTGTGTGTGTTAGTGGTGTTTCATTTTAATCATGGAAGAATGTGGATTTTGGGTTACTGTTTTTAAACCAAAAATTGGGGATTTTTTTTAATCAGAGAAATCCAGGATCCCTGCTGATAATAAAGGCAGTCTCCTGGGAGGTGGGGGGAAATTGAACTCCTGTTTTTAACACTGACATTTTAACCACTGACCTGTTGGTTTAAAGGGGAGTGCAAATGTCAAGGCTTCTTCAAGGAGTGATCCCTACTTTGACTTTGGAGAGAAAAATAATAAAGGTTCTTGGTATCTAATCTAGAAGGTGGCTCAGGGCTGCAGAGGGAGATGCCTTACCTGTATAGCAGACTTAAGTCCTTTAACCCACTGTGAAGAGGGGTATTTAAGGCATATCCATGTCCTCACCCTTTCCATTTGGTTATTTCATTCAGTGTACTCACTAGTTTGGATCACATTCTGAAGTTATACATTGTCTCCCTTTGCATCCCATAGAGAACTGAGCTGTCTGACTCGAAACTGTGAGTTCTCCTGTGTAGAGTTTAACATTGGATTATATGATATTGTGACATATGTGTCTTGTTAGGGATCTAGTCCTAAATGTTTTCCAAAGTAAGTAACCAGATTTTTTTTCCTTTCTAGAAAAGTTGATTGCTTACCAACGGGAATTCCATGCTTTGAAAGAACGCCTTCGCATAGCTGAGCACAGAACTTTGCAGCGCTCCTCTGAGTTAAATGCCATCTTGGAGCAGTTCAAGCGTGCAGTAGCAGAAACAAATGGAAGTAAGGATGCATTAAACAATTTTTCAGGTACAGGCCTGGGTTTAGATTCACTTTAATTTAATATTGTACACTTCTGGATTACTGATTGCTATTTTATTTCCATACTAATGAAAAGGCTAGAAAACAAAGAATACTTTAATATTAGATCCTTAGGAACCATCTAACTGCACACAGCTAGTCTAAGTAACATGGTCCTGCCTGATATTCTCCCCTTAACAATTCTAACTGGTGGTTGATGCATCAAGTATGTACAGTAATATTTTAAATTAAATTGTAATTTCCTTAAGAAACCGTGTGATTGTTCAGCCACTGGCAGGAAAGAAAAGCTATCTGTAAATGTTTCTTACTTTGTCAAAATTAATACTTAAAAATTAAACACGATTACATCCTTCTTACTCCTTTGTATCAAAATGTGAGGCTAATCTGAAAATGTTAGAACAGATATATATTGGGCTATAGCTACCAATCACCTTACTAGTAGTTCTTGCCATTGATATTTTACTCTAAGCTTTTTGACTTCTGTGTAAAAAGTCAACATTTCCAGAAATAAGTTTCTTTCCTGACTGATCTGAATGTATTGCTTTTAAAAATAGTAATCCCTGATTTGTTGTATTTTTGAGACAGTACATCCCAACATTTTATTCACCTAGATGACAGATCTACTGTCATTTCTTAGTAGTGCTTTCAGATGCTGAAAACCTTTAATAAAAGTAGTCTCTTTTTAAAGAAAAGTCAGCCTAATAAATGTTGTATGTTAGGGACTGGCAACCTTGTGCCAGCATGAGCTGCCCCTTGCAACTGGGTCCCCCACACATCTGCAAGTCTTGGGCTCCCGGAGCAGCTTGTGCTTACTCTTGTTGCTGAGCCTCAACCCCTTTGTTGCAAGGGTAAGTGCAGGTGTAGCAGAGCAGTAGGCTCTACAACACTGGGGAGAGGAAAGGGGGAGAAACATGACACAGCTTTATACCGTGCCAGATGAAACCTTTGTGGACCAGATCAGACCTCTTTGCAGGCTGGATCTAGCCTATGGGATGTAAGTTGCCAACCCCTATTTTAAGTCATCTGTTTTGGAACTAATAAAGAATTGTCCTTCAGTACTTTAGTGGTTCACACTCCTGAATCACTGAACAGATCAGGCTTCAGGAGCATTAGACATAAATGTTTTGGGTTTTTTAGTGTCTTTTACCACTGTTAGCCATGTTACTTTGATCTCCAGGTTGGACTACTACTACGCATTCTGCATTATATAGCATTCATAAGCTAAAGTTGATGCAGTTAGAAATGGCCCAAGCTCAAGAAGAGGTTGGACAGCCACTGGTCAAGGATGATCTAGGTGTATGTTCTTTTATGGCTATTTCCCAAGATTCTGGGCTTTGCTGGCTGCTGCATGGGATACGGAGGGAATTTTCCCTGCCCTGCTGCTACAGATATGTGTGTTTTGTTTGTTTTTAAGCCTTCCAAAGAGGCATTGGCTGCAACAAAGGCTGGGGATTTTAACTGGGGTGCCTATGTTCCTCCTGGGACTTAAACCCGGAGGTACCTAACTAGAAGGTCTTGCCCCTCCACTCAGGGTCAGAACAATTGCCATATTTGGGGTCAGGAAGGAATTGTAACCAGTAGTTAGACTGGTATGGACTGTGGGAGTTTTTGCTTTGCTCTGTAGTGGGGAGTGTGACCCTCTTCCAGGGGTGACTGGTGCCTCCCAAGACTGGGGGGGCACCAGATGGCTGGCGGGGGGGGGGTCCCCCAGCAGCTGATCGCTGAGTGCGGAACCACCAGCAGTGAAACTGGCAAAGTTCACAAGTTCTTATATTCATTTTTATTAAGTATATGTCTGTCTAAAAATTCTTAGGCACATTATAAATATCAATACATAATATGTTGTTTTTGGTCACTACTTTAAATCTGGAAGTAATTCAAGCTACATGACAGATCCTGCCATCTATCTGGAAATATAGACACTTCCAGTCCAGCTTCTGCATTTGAATCTGCAAGAAAAATATGGCAAGCAAATTATAATAATCTATAGTAGAATTTAGACCCCAGATCAAATATTACACCTCTCCTCATGGCACTTAAAAAAAAAAAATCGAGACTGTTAATTGTCTGGCATTTGGCTTTATATTTTATCCAAAGAAAATACCTATAGTTCTGTAGGACCACTGGTTCTGTTTATAATCCCAGGAGTGAATGACAACTATTATCTCATCATCTTCATTTCTCTGGCACCCAGATTTTCTTTGGAAGTCTTCAATCCAGTTTGTGACCTAACCTGACCTTTACAGGATTTGAGACTGTCAATATATTATGGTTTTTTCTAATTAAAAATATTGGCTACTGTTTTGCACTTGATTTGAGGGAGTTGCTACATGATGTTAAAGAAATTTCATAGCTGATATCTGCTGATATCTGTGCTCCTTTGTGGAAGTAATCTGAAAGGTAGCAGGCTCTGATAACATCATGAACTGATTTAGCTTTTAATATTCAAACTGAGTAAATAATTTAAATGTGCAGCTTTGTGTGGAGGGCATTTCTATTACAAAATTGTACACAAATTTTAGCTTTTTTATTGTAAACTGTGAAATTTTATTTTTATGAAAAATACTTTTATGTAAAATATGTTTTAAAAATGCCTGCAGTTTAAAAAACATATTCATTTAAAGATTATGTTGTTGCATTTTGATGCACACTGTGAAACTAAATACAAAATACTCAGAATTGTCTGGGTGTTCTTATTTTTTTTTCCTTGCATCTTGATCCACTCTGGGTAAAAAAAAATGTATGGAAATTCTCTACAGGTAAGAACTTTCCGTTATACTATTTCTTGCAGGATTTTGTAACTGTCACTTGTAATTTTGTTTCTTTTTCCAGAAAAACAAGCCTACTAAAACCCCCCTATGTATGACTTTTTAAATGAAAAATATTTTTCTTTTTTGGTACACAAATCTGATTTAAATGCCTCATTTTATTTTGCTTTATTTCACTTAGCATCAGGCTTGAAATTGCATGCGTCTTGTAGCTCTGTAAAGGTATTTCCGTTCTGATGCATTTTCTGCATTATTGGGTTTATATATGTTTGCAGATGAAACAGTGAAATTGCTAAAAGAGCTAACAAGCAGAAAATCTCTTCAGGTGCCAAATATTTATTACCATTTGCCTCACTTATTGAAGAATGAAGGAAGTCTTCAACCATCAGTGCAGATTGGCCTTGGACGAACAGGAGGTATGCTGGTATAGTTTAAATAATGTGTATATTAAACATACATTTAAAGAATTTCCTGGTTCTGGCAGTCTAATTTATTCTATTATTTGGTAGCTCAAAAACTCTCATTACTTCTGTGATATCAATGTATATTAGCACTCTCACTGAATCCAAGATGAAAGGAGTTTGCATTCAGTTTTGCACTTTAGTACCCAATTCAGATCACAGGCTATCCCAGGTGGTAAGATATACAATAAGAAGGGCTACATTTGGATCAGTTTGTGTTGCCTTTTCATTAGTTTTACAAAATTAAGAAAGCATGGAAATATTATCAGATTTATCCCTTTGGCTTATACATAGTAAACTAAGCATGGAATTATGTTTCTGGTGTACGCAGCAATAAATTCCATGGTGTAACCAAGTGGACTTGGCATTTTGGGCACCTAAGATTAATTAGATTTGATCATTTCATTAAAATATACAATTTAGTTTAGGGAGGGAAAAGCCTGGTACTCATTTCTAGTCTTGCGGTTGGCTGTGCCTCCACAGAATTATACTCTTACTAGCTGTAGCCGTGCAACCCTAAAAAACCCAACCAGGTCACATCCCTTGAAAAGTGTCTGTATGTCTGTAAGAATTAAATTCACATGTATACCATTTAATCTGGTTCTGCCAATATTTTCATAATCAAATCTTTCATGTTTTGCTCAGCTGCTTATTATAGAATTACCAGTTCTAGTTAGTGTATGTTGAGTATTCTAATTTGATTTTTCACTTCCTAGTTTTAAAAAGTTGCTTACCTACTTGTCAGATGTGCTGGATCAAGTGTTATTCACTTATTCTTTTTCTCTCTATAACAAAATGGAAATAAATTCTCTGCATATTGGCAGTCAGGAAGAGGAGGACTCAGACTTCTGTAATTGGTTTACACCAAACATATAATCAACTATATCAACATCTTAAATTGCAAAAAAAGTTAATTAAAATCAACAGTGCTAAAAATAGAAAAACATCAGTTAAAAGTTGAGTCTATATCCTGCTCTTCCTCTGTTTTGTGTTCTGAATACGTATTATTATATATAGAATCTAATATCTGCAGTAATTAAGATGTGTTCAGAATGCCTTCCAGTATTTCCAAATCTAGTTTGATTTTGTGTATTTAAGGTATATGGAGGGGGATCTCTCCAATCACACTGGGCTTTATAGTATTTTGCATAGTTTTGCTTATCCCATTTGTCCTTTGCCTATCAGGATGGAGGCAAGCCCTATCATATTTGGGGGAAGAGATGGCCTTGGGGAGGTCGAGGCATGAAAGTTAAATAGGTATGTGGAGGACAGGAAGAGGTGAGAATGCAGAATTAGCAATACAGTTGGGGTGTGAGTGTTGAATTTTGAGGTAGTTTATATAGAATAGGAGGTCTGAGATGGGATCCTGGGAGGTGGGGAGTGTTAGGGCCATTCTGGGGCTCTGGATTTGATCAGTGGCCAAACTGGTCATATAGCTAAAAGAACCCCCCAAAAATGGAAGGTAAACAAGGAAATTCTGTACAAAAGTTTGTAGACATTTTCCTTAAATCTTATGCAGGCAATTAAATTGTAAAGACCTGTTGTGCCATATTTGGAGGCTAAGCTCTCCCTAAACAGGTTGTGATTTGCATAAATCACAGTGGAACCATAAGTGATACGTACCACAATGGTATGCGTCTTTACAATGCACAATAATACTCTTAGCATTTAAGCATTTAGTACTTTTTTGTATGGCTGCTTTTGATTTAACCATTGGGGGCATTCTGTAATACTATATTTACTCAAGATGACGATTTTTCCTCTTAAAACATGGGGGGAAAGCTTCTTATCCTGGATTCAAGTACAAGGCAAGGAGCACACGGCCATTGTGGCTCCAGCCACAGCCTGACCCAGGCTCGCGGTCAGAGCTTCAGCTTCCCCCTGCCGTTTCTCCACCCCCCACCACAATGCCCTCCTGCCATCTGCTCCCACTTCCTCTGCCCCGCCCCACCCCACCACCATTGCTTACCCTCATTCAGGGTTCTGGCCCCTGTCCAACCCTGCAACAGCAGCAGTGGTAGTGACAGTTCCAGTTCTGACCTGGTTCCAGGGGTGGGGCTGAAGCTGCTCTTTCTGTTGCCATAACCACTGCTGCCTGCATGGGCAGGGGCCAGAGTCAGTGTGTGATCCGTGCCCTGGGCTGGAACATGGCAGAAGCCAGAGCCCCAACAAAGGGTAAGCAGTGCTGGAGAGGGAGGATATGACTGGGTGGGGAGGCAGGTGGCAGAGGGGTGCAGGGACTGGAGGGGACAGACAGCAATGGGGGCAGATAGCAGTTGAGGCGAGTGGCAGAGGAGGTCAGGCACTAGGGGTTATAGGCACTGGTGGGGATGGCCAGGTGCTGGGGGATGCAGGCAGGGACAAGTGATGGGTGGGCACGTAGTGGCAGGCAAGGGCTGGGGTCAGGTTCCTTGACCCATCCACCCACTTACCCTTTGCTGCTGCTTGCCCCCCAGCCACTGCTTTCCCTGTGGTAGTAGTCATGGATGAATTTAAGATGACCCTCCAATAATTAGATTCTATACATGGAAAGTTATAAGATTTATAAATTTTCCATGTATAAATTCTGATTAGTTGAGGGATCATCTGAAATTCAGAGTTGTCTTGGATTTAGGTAAATACGGTAATGCTATCAGTGATTTGGTATGTTTTGAAACATTGTTGGTTACTGCCTTATCTCAGTTTGTTAATACTTTTTGTGGATTTCTCAATCTCTGTTATACAACAGTTTCATATCTGCTAATTTGTCTATAAATGAGATAATTATAAGTACATTTCTCTTTTTATTTTACAGTTTCAATTGTGATGGGAATTCCCACAGTGAAAAGAAAAGTCAAGTCTTATCTTACAGAAACTCTCCATTCTCTTATTGATAAATTGTCTCCTGAAGAGAAATTGGATTGTGTTATGGTTGTCTTCATAGGAGAGGTAATCACTTAAATATTTTACATCACTTCTAAACTTTCTTAATGACTAGTATCACATAGCAGCTGGCTGTGCTTTTTCTAAGAATTGTTTTGAACAGTTTATAAAAGACAAGTTGTAGAAAAATTCCTAGTTTCCTGGTAAGACATGAAGAAGCGGAGTTAATTATGCATGTATTTATTGAGGTAATTGCATGGCTTTCTGATAGTAAGGAGAGAATGGAGGCAAATCCAGCAGATCTGTTATTTTACAAATCCTCTCATGTATTTAATATCCAGTGTTATGGCACTGAGGTGTGGCATTGTGTGCTGAGGCTGGAGAGCACAGCTGCTGCCATTTTACTGAAGTAGCTTATGCAGATTTTACTGGTTTGTGGGTAGGATTCCTTCCTTGCATATCAGCTGAGTGCCTAGTCTTGCTGCTCAAGCTGAAAGTTGCTCTGAGGATTTTGTCTATAATGCCAAATACTCCTGACAACTACTTTGATTTTCTGTTTTTCTGGATTATAAATTTCTCCTGCAAAATTAGTTATTCTTTTGTAAATCTACTTTTAAGATAAATTTTTGAAATAGGATTTCATTGGACACTTTGGAAAAGCTAATTAATTGCTGCCAACTATACTGGATCTTCTAGCTAAGCTCCTAAGGATGCCGGTACCATGCCTTCTTTATGGAAGATTGTTTTATCAGCTGAAAGGGCTGGGAAACCTTCTCTTTTTAGATGTATGTGTGTTCCCTAGCAATTTGTTGCCTAGTTTACAGAATGTGAGAGAGTTTATAAATGTATGGTTCCCTTCAATCCCTGACAGTACAGTTTGCTTTTGAAACACTGTGAGTGGTTTATAAACACCATCCATTAGATCAGGGGTAGGCAACCCCCTGCATGGGTGCCAGAGTGTATCATTCACAAAGGCATTTTGCTTGGCACATGTGCCTCTGGGTGGATGGCAGGGAAGGGGCCACAAGGATTGGGCCCCTCATGGCTCCCCAGTCATCCACCTGTGGCACAACAACATCTTACAAGTTGAAGATGTGGGTGCTTTCTGCACTATGCCCAAAAATGTTGCTGACCCCTGCATTAGATATTGACAATTGAAAACTGTTTCTTTCTTTTTTTCAACCACTGTTCAAGGGCTGCATTTATTTTTAGAAGAGAACCATTCAAAGACTAAGGATGGACTCCAGCAAACATACAAATGGTTCTTTTTCTGTTCTTGGGCACACAGAAAATTAATAACGCTCAAAGGTCTCCTTTTAAACATCTTGATTACCGTTCTTCAGAACTTAAAATTGACTTGCTTTTGTTCTAATTGAAGTCATATCATTCTTTATATTTCATGCTTGTCATCCATGGGCATCAATGTGGATGTTACGTTTGGGTAACTCTCACTCTTCATTAGCTGAACAAATTGATTTTGGTACATCTGATGCAGGTTAATAAGAGTGTTGTTGCATTCAGAAGTCATACCAAATTT